TTGTCTTTCCCAGTCCCAGGCCAGGCAGAGAAAATTGCCATGAAGGAAAGAGAGCCAGGGGCTATTAAGGAAAGTCTAGGGTGTGCTAATTGGTGGCCTGTGGATCTAATATAGCTCAAGGACTCAATATGTTTTTTGATAGCACATTAATAAAAAAATCCTTTTTATTATGGAAAATTTAAAACATATACACATTTACTCAGAATAGTGTTACTAGCCCCATGTACCCAATGCCCCTTTTCAACTATTACCAACTTATGGCCCGTCTTGTCCATCTGTGCCCCACACTCCCTCCCACAGCATTTGTAGCATCGATGCTTTTAAAAATTGGATTGGAAGCTATTTAGGAAGGAAAACCGCTTCTAGCTCTCACCGTTGCCCTGCCTCCTCACTATCTTGTCCCAGAGTTGAGGGCCTAGGTTACCTCACTCCGCTTCCAACCTGCTTGTCCTTGAAGACGTTTGAGGTCACAACCACTGGTCTAAGGACAACAACTGAGAAGTGGTGTGAGCTGGGACAGATCAGATCGCTGTCAGGGAGAGGGTGTCAGGGATTCTCAACCAACCTGCCTTTCTGGTTGCCTTGACAGGGGACAAAATGGCCTCAAGGGTGGGAGCCAGGGGCTGGGTTTTTGAGACCTGGCTTTGCCTCTTACGTGCTGTGTGACTTGGTTCATCTGGCCTCTCTGGCCTCGGTTGATCATTTGAAAATGCGAGGTTGTACTAAGAGACCTCTGGGTTCTCTTCTAGCAACAGTGTGAAGAGAGCCTGAGATCTGGGCTCCGGACACCAGGGCTGAGATTTCTACTCTGCTGCTCTCTGGCTACCTGGTGAGCAGACCTCGATCACACCTGCATCGAAGATGATAACCCTGCCCATCTCCCCCAGGTCCACTCAGGACAGCCTGAGGCTCACTGGGAGTGCTGTCTGGGAGAGCACTAGGTGATAACCTGGCTCCATACAGCCAGACCCCGCAACTCCCCCAGAGAGAGCCCCCCGGAGTCTCAGGGATGCCAATTGACTAGCTTCACCCCAAGGAGGCGTTTCTCTCTTCCTCTGTGTCGAGGACAATGTGAGGTAGATTCCAGGGAAAGTGGTGGAAAGTCAAGATCTCCAGGTTGCTGCTGTGGCCTACTCCTAGAAGGGAGCTGGGGTGAAATGTGGGAGCAGAATGGGGCAGGGAGAGGGTGGCAGGGGCCCTGCAATGTGCTAGATTGCAGCCTTGTTACCAGGGAGGCAGGCCCTGCTCATACTTCCACCCAGGAGCTCATTGCCTATTTCACCCTCACAGTAACTGCTGCTGGTTATAAGGGAGTTCTGGAAGCCAGAGAAGAAAGGCCAGATTGTGTCTGATCCTGCCCATAGAAGTACAGAGGTTTCTAGAAATCAGGCTCCTCCCCACCTCCCCACTACCCTGTCCCTGAGATTCTGCCAGGAAGGAGCAGCGTGGCCCCGAGGAATCTTGGCTCAGACTGCCCTGCGGTCATCAGGCTCACAGGGGCTGGTCCTGGGTGGACCCTCGCCTCTCACCAACTGAGGCTCCCAGCCTGGGGTGACTGGGCGACTAGGCGAATGCATAACAGGGAGAAGCTGTGGGAGTCCTGTGGTCTCTTATCCCACTGCCCAGCCTGGGGGCCCTGGGTTGCCTGGGGCCGGTGGGAACCCACAGCACCCGCCGGGGGCTTGGCACACCCTGGGGACTCAGTAGGAGTCTGTTCCATCACATTCAAGAGGGTCAAATAAGGAGGCTCTGTCACTCTTTTAAAAAAATCTTATTACTTTAAAAACATGAATAACTAATACATTCCTCTTGACTCAAAATCCACAAGGTACAAAAGGTTGCACCAGAAAAAAGGCTTCTACCCCACCTGTGTCCCCATCACCGTTTCCCCCAGGAGATAGCACACCAGCTTCTTGTGTCTGCCAGATTTATTTATATAAGAAATGAGTACCAGCAGCTGCATTCTTCTATTTTTATTTATTTATTAAATATATTTTTATTGATTTCAGAGGGAGGAAGGGAGAGGGAGAGAGAGAGAGAATCATCAATGATGAGAGAGTCATTGATCGGCTGCCTCCTGCACGCCTCCTACTAGGGATCGAGCCTGAAACCCTGGCATGTGCCCTGACCGGGAATCGAACCATGATCCCCTAGATCATAGGTCGATGCTCAACCGCTGAGCCACACCGGCCAGGCCGTACTTTTATTTTTACTTGGAGGTATACCTTGACAGTCACTGCATTTTGGTACACAAGGCTCTTCCTCTCCCCCGGCCCCTCTTTATTGACCGGTCCCTCTGTGGACCCTTGGCGAGTTGGCCCCTTCCGCGCTCCTGGACATGGGTCTCACAGAGTTGGCCCAGCCCTGCGCTCCCTCTGTCTGTGCTGGTGGCCTTGGCTACTCATCTGCCCTCTCTGAGCTTCAGTCTTCTCACCTGCATGTGGCAGGTGGCAGCTGCAGTCCATTAACTTAGCAGTTAAATTATCCTAGAATTAAACTTCTATAACAACTTAATTTCTGAATCTGAGCGCTCATGTTACCGGCACAGTGGAAAACTCCACCTGTCC